ATGACAGCACAGCCTGTCTCAGGCCAAATCTACCGCCCATTGGAGGCGAATCTATCTGGCTAGAATTCAAGGAAAAATTTCATCCTGAAAAGAAGCCAGACGACAGCAACTCTGATCAAATGTTGCACATGGCCCTCGCCATCGGCAGTGCAATACTCGCACTCGCGCTGATCATTGCGATCACAACTCTGTGCATGGTTTTCAGTTCCCGAACCAATTATGAGCTCATACCAACAATCCCCAGCGATAGCATGGAAAATGTCGTTGACTTCCCATACCAATCAACCACAATCCCAGCTTAATGAAGATCATAATCGCTTAATTACAGATCGAACCCCGGCCTCAAACCTCCCTCGATATAAACCACCACCCGCTAAAATCTCTAATTCGAACGTTTTTTCTCTTGCTGTGCCTAATAACAAAACCCAGATATGAACCAAGAATCAGTGAAACCCAAGAAGAAATGTAAACCCCAGCCATACTGGATTTTCGCACTAGAATATCAGAAAAAACACCATATACCCGATATAGAAACCCTCAAAATTGTAACCGATGAACCATGGCGAAAGATGACCGAAGAGGAAAGAAGACCATACAGAGAGAAAGCCCGGCAACAACGCGGCCAAATCGAACCCCAGCCATGTCCTAGGAAGGACTGTCAACAACACGTGGAAGCACTGAAAATACTCAAAAAGGCTAACGAATCACTACGACAGCAATACTGGCAATACAAAGAAATAACAGAAAGAAAAATCCGGAACCTCGAAAACAAATCACTCCCTGAACCGACAGAAGAGGAAATACGAAGACGAAATCGCCTAACCCCAACAGCATGGAGTCCGGCAGAAATCGACTACATCGACTCCTCGGAAGATGACTCCAAATGAAAACAACAAACATTGAGATTGAGAGGAAATTTTTTTTTCTCTCAACAAAAAATGGGAAATTTTTCCACCTCATTTTTTAACAACCTCCACGAAATTCTCAAAATTCCCGCATTCCAATAGAGGATTACTGGCAATCGGAAAAACAGCCACGAACTCAGGCTTCGAACGACTCAACAATCGGATACACCGCCGATCCTCCAAGGAATAACATACGAGCACTTCTTTCACAGACCGACAAACATACTCGGTCAAGTCAAAAATTACCTCCGGAGAAACCGAGGTCACTGGGGCGGTGGTGGTGCTCGTTGAAGAAACCGATGGAGCCATCGTACTGATGATGACTACGGTCTCCGTTGTCGTAGACACGCTGACGACTTCCTCACGACGAAAATGGAAGCCTCGAGCTAAAACAATATACATTAATGTTGCTTATGTCCGTAACAAGAATGCTCATAGGTCGCACATACAAATCTCAAGTTATAATGGCGATAATATCCTACCGAGCATGAACACCACGACAATCCAAATCAGGACAAACGAGACCGACATCATGCAACAGCATGAAAAGCGACTGGTCTGGCGATTCGGATTTCGGGCCTCAACATTCACCGACGACCCACTCCCAGGAACATCATAATCCTGCGCCTGACCAACAACACCCAACTCGATCACATCCTCCATATCTTCTTCGCGTCGAAGATTTCGGAGACCAATCCTTCGGTCAACCGAATGACAGATACGACCCGAACGTGTCTGAACCATGCTCAAACGACAAAAACACTCGAAATTTCTTTCCACAAATACTTCCACAAAAGTAGACGGGACGGATGCAGCCGATCGATGCGAAACAAGAGCCACCAAGAATTGGACTCAATCTCAAAAAAAACCTTGCTTGAAGCCGCGGCGGAAGCTTCGCTCCGAGGCCGGGAGGGGGCGCGGTCGCGCAGGCGACCGTCCGTGTGGAAGGGGGACCAGGCGGGTCGTCGGCGTCGGCGGCCGCGGAAGTCGAGGGTGGCCGAGTCGCGGCGGCCGCAGAAGCTGAGGGTGGCCGAGTCGCGGTGGCCGCAGACGTCGGGGGTCGCCGGCGGCGGCCCGAGCCGCGTTAGCGGAAGCGGCGGCGCAGGGGACGCCAGCAGAGGCCGCAGCGGCGGCGGCGGCCGCTAGGAGGGCAGCCAGGGCTGAGGAGGCGTCCTCAGCTGCAGCGGGGGGGAGTCGTGATGCGGCAACGCTCACGACTCTCGATGTGTGCGGGCACCTCGCGTGCTGGCGTTGCGCCTTCACCTGGTTCAACACGCGATGGGGGGACCGGTGCCCGATCTGCTCGGCGCAATTGAGCCTGGGGCAGTACCGGCCCGTGTACTTGAACGGGTGGGGGATGACGTCGACGCCAGTGGGCGTCACGAGTACGAGCTCGAGACGATCGTCGGGCGGAACAATCAGGAGATCCCCGTTCCGCCCCGACCTCAGGTTCGGGTCGAACGTGTTCGGCCTAGGCAGCCGACGGAGTACGAGCTGGAGCTCGACGCCGAGGAGGCTCTCCGGATGGCCGGGGAGGAGTAGAGACGGCCGTCGGGGCCTTCCGAAAAAAAAA